ATACAATATCACTTTCGGCTGACTGTATGTTGATGTGTATATTCTAAATTTCTGTTAGATATTTGGTCAAAGTGTTTTCTTTCTCAATAAAATTGCGGATTTAATAAGAAGTTGTAGATATTTCAGGTACCAGTTACGATTGTGATCCTCGAGAGAGGAAAAAGTAAGTGTCGAAAATCAACTAATATTTCATTTGTAGGCGCAGTCTTCGTCGCTCTATCACATTAAATTGAGCTTCCTTTGTTCTATTGCACCTTCATATATGTGTTGGCTTGTCTAGATTGTTAAGGAGTTACATTCTAGACAAATAATTATGCCTCATGTAGTCTCTGAAAGTACGAGACCTCACTGTTTAGTCATAAAGTGCAACTTTATCATATTAACTCTCATCTAAGTAGTAAATACATGATTTCCTTGCCATATCAATATCTTATCATCAATCTTACACACATTACCACTACTGAATATAATTAGATTTCTTTGTGAGAAATTTGTTTGATCAATACACACACTTTCATAGTTATACATATTCTTTAGAAATTTTTTTAATACCTAGTTTGTGACATCCATTATCTATGTCATCGTTCACTGTGAAATATAATTCACAAATAATGCATTTTAATAAAATGACAGAATTATTAATGCTTTATTATATCTTCCTTTTTCATTGATGCAGTTATTTGACTAGATGAAGCCAAATAAATATAAATTATTGTGTTGCTTGTATCTAAACAAAAATACTTTTCTGTAATTTTATTGCCTTCAAATCGATAATCACGAAATTATCATGTGTTCTGTTTATGTATTAACTAATGATGGAGATCAATCATATTTTAATTGTTGTTTTATTTATTATTTAAGTAGTTATTGATTTTACCGTATGACTAATTCATGGATGTTATAATTATTGCCATGTCATACATGTATATTTAGATGTACCTGTGGTAATGATAGCGGTAATTGGTCTATAAAGATATTAACTATTTGTGTACATTTATTCTTAATCTACCTAATTATGAAGGTTTTACAACTAAATAAAAAATAATATGTTTACTTATAGTGTCTACGAGTTCTGAAAGAAAATACTGCTGAAATATTTCGTATTCGTTTAATTTTTTTATCAGTTGCTATGGTAACTAGGGTACCATACTAGAATGATTATTGCGACTGCCTGTCAGTTGGATAGGAGTCCTCCGAACTTTTCCATAAATCATGCTTATCACAAGTTCCATCAGGTGTGCATGAAAATAGTTAATCCTTCAGTGAAGAAGTGGTATATCACGAAATTAATCCTAGTTATGTAGATATCATTTTTCAATCTTATTTTAAAAATATACGTTCTAGTGCTTTTGTTCATTTAATCTTATCATTCTGTAGGTTCATTTTATCATTTTAAAAAGTCTTCTAATTTCACTTCATTCCCTTGCGAGGAAAACTCAATCTATGGTTATAAAATACAATTGAACTCATTTATTAATTACAAGTGTATGCTCCCGGGTTTCGAACTACACTTGTTTTGTGAGAATGTAAGATAGTATTCGTCTGTTCCAACTGACGTAGGCGAAACGCTTGTAGAACTTGGGAATTAAGCTAGATGCTTCAGCCACCTAGCAGACGCTTTACTTCTTATGTAGTCAATCAACAATTTATTATTAGAAGTTTTGTTTAGATTTCCTTACATCCTTCTTGATGTAATACATATTACCAATTTGATTTTTGTGATGAATAGTTCAGCTTATCTTGATTTTTTTCTTTTAGTTGTCAGAGAAATGAAAGGAGCAAATCATATGCAACAAGTATCCACATCTGAGAAGCCTACAATTGCAATTATCACTAATTTGCTTTGTGAAAAATTAGCTGTAGATGCAATGATGGAACAGAAGACAACATTTGTTCGTTATAAATCTGAGGGTAATTACATGTATATTTATACACCCCAATATCTTTTCCTTTCTAATATTTTAGGTGAATCACATGTTTACACTATCGGGAACATAGGACCACATAAAGTCATTTCCACAAAACTACCTATGGTTGGACGTGAACTTCAAGCGAAAATTTCCTCTGGGAGTATTACAACTCGGCTGCTTGGTTAGTTCATAAACTATTTGTTTGTTCTCTCGGTAATATTTACTGGTAAACAAGATTATATGTTTATTCTAACTTTTTACTTAATAAGAATATAATATTCATAGCTCACGTTTTTGTTTTGAAGTGTTAAGGCCGTATCCTGAGCTTTGGGACAATAGTTGTTCTTTATATTAGAGTGGATAACTACTTCAAAGACATTTTCTCCATGGATAAAACGTTTGTAAACCCCTTAACGGTTCTCTACGCTTTATCGTAGTCAGTGATCCTGTTCTAACCGTACAAATAACTAATGAAGTGATGTTCTACATCGTAGAGACAAGGTTGTATCTCTCCACGTGTTTATTTCGATAATAAAGGTGATTCATTGATTTGTTCACATTCATTTTTCTAGTATGTGCTGTTATTCACGTAAATTATCCCCTCAATCTACAGCCACAACTTTCTAATGCTGTCTATTTCATCACATTTCAAGGAACTTCGCTGGCAGATTTTTTAACATAAAAAATGGTTACAAATGCAGAAACACGATAATATCAAGTTTACGAATATCCTTATCATTATTTAATTGGAATATAAGATCGTACATTAAGGCTAGAATCTTATGCAAGTGTTGTGAAACGGGATTGATACATCAGCGCTGCTGAATTTCAGCAACCGTCTTTTAGTAAGACTCAGTCCATGCATTTTGAGTTTATTTATATTCCATTTAGGAGTAGATGATAAAACTCTGATTTATTTTTAGTAACTATTAGTTAACATTACACGTGTGCTCCGTTTAATACAAATTTATGTAGTCTTTTGGTGTAATCGATTCCTCCGTAATATTTTATTGTTAAAATAAACACAGCTTTCATTCTAGACCAGATAATTTCACTTTATAAGCATGAGTTCTTTATGATTTATTTGCAAGCGAAAAGATTTTGTTATGTAATAACTGTCTCTCTTAATGATCAATATGCGTAAATACAGGTAATTAAGATAAAAGTACATTAACGGAAAACGATAACCATTACATGTGATTGTATCTTCTTACTGACAGTGTTTTTCATCTCTTAAATGTCTACACCCTACTATTATATCATAATGATTACTTAAACTCACCAACTGTGTTTTGTGGTACTTTCGTATCATAAAACAGCTGTGTGGTTTATTAGAGATAAATCTTATATTCATCGCTATTTATAGTTATTGGATATTGCTGAAAAATGTATTTTATCAAGTACACATGCTTTTTTATTCTTTAGGAGCATTCCAAGCGGTGCAGCATGTGTTTCTAGTAGGGGTTGGAGGTAGTGTACCTCACGTGTATGAATTTGAAAAACATTCTCGCCTGGGTGATATTGTAGTGAGTGCTGTGGCACGTTCAAGTGGATTGCATTCTTCAGCTATGAACAATCATACAAATCATTCTGTATCGAATGATGTAGGAGACTCTATCTACATTTACTGTGATCGATTGATTGAACCTCCGGAAGATGCAGTTGATATGAAAACACCAAGATTTGTTTTAAGAAAGTACGCTGCTCGAGATCCAACTTTAGTGAGCTGTGTAGAGAAAGTCCTTGATCGCTTCGAAGCAGCTCCGGAAAAATGTGAATGGGATCAGATTTTAAAGTCTGCTTTGACTATACTAGGTGGAGAGGATGATCCCATTGATTTTGCTCGACCATCGCCTGATACAGACAAACTAAAACTTAAAGTAAGTCCCAAAAGTGTATTTTGAGCAGGTAATAATTCCTGATGTTCTGTTGATGCTCACTTTGTTGCTACTGTTTAAACCTCCTTTGAACTTGACAGATTTATGAATAATACTTCGAGATTATGCAAATTCACGGTGATAATATAGTGATGCAATCAGATTAATTAAAAAATAGTTAAATCAATACAATTACAAATCGCAATTCTTCTAATTAACATCCATTCACGTTCTTGTTTCAATTAACAGATAAGATCATTATTAGTTTAATCGATTAACTCGTGCCGCATGAGCAATCAGTTGGTTATTGATCACTTATATTTCGTTATTTTAATGTGATCTATCTATAGATTGTTCTCATGAAAGAGACTATGCATTGTGCACGGATTACTTTCATAGGATTGTTATTATACTAAGATATTGCGCTGAATCAGATGTGTTTGTTTCTAGTTTGAATGCAATGTTTACGAAGATTAATTAATGAAAACTGATATTCTAAACATTAACGATCATGCTTTATACAGATCAACGAAGGTGTAACATTCGATATCAAGCATCCGGATGTGCCTGAAGAACTGGCGCGTTTCTACCCACCAGGCGTACCAGCCGTACGCCTTGGTTGTATGGGATCTGGCAGACCAGTTACAGATAATGACGCATTGATGAGTGACTTTGCTAAAGAACACCACCTACTATGTTATGATGCTGAATACGATCAAGTAAGTTTGTTACTGTTCCTAATTTTCTTTGTTGTAAGTTAGTCATATGGTACACATGTTAAGCTGTTCTTTCAGATGATTAGAGCGATGTCCAACTAACCTTGTGTTTTATATCTAATTCAGGTTTTGGAGTCCGTCATGGGAAACGGCCTTGACTCGTTTATTCTTATTCGTGGAATAGCTGACTATATGGAAGGGAGACAAGGTACACAGTGGCAACCTTATGCAGCACTTGCAGCGGCATCTTTTATGAAGTCTATAATTCTACAACTGCCGCTGATTCCAATTAACGAAGACTGATGGAAAAGCTTACTATATCCTAGGAAGTTCTTATATGCTTGACATAAAAACTACGTTAATTCACCATACATCACCTCTTGTACAGTTCGATATCTCCCACAGATATCAGTATGATTGCAACATACATAACTTTCCATGCAACTTTATTTTTCTTCATAACACATGTAAACAACTGAAATAAATTGCCATGTATTGTATGATATAAATATATTTAGTATCACTATCATTTTGATTTTTAAGTTCTATTATGTGCTGAAGCCAACGAAACATTTTACAAGAAAAAAAGTAATTAATAATAAGCTTTTGTGGAGATAGTCATAGTACGGTACTCGGGTTGTCAGGGCAAGAAGAGGGAGACAAATCATAAACTGTTTGAACATATTATTGGAAATTTAAATACATTTAATAATAAAGTATAACCAATCCTAACAGTAAAGAGACTTGGTGAGATTGATCATCTCTTCATTTCGTCTTATGTACTAAGTGTTACATGAAAATTGAAAACCATCGTATAAAATTAGGAGCCAATAATACAAAAAAATGTAGCTAGCTTGGATGTATTTTGCATGTGATTTTTGAAATTGTTTTGTCGATTACATCTGAACTGTACATTAAAAGAAGCCGCATACTGTAAGAATCGCAGAAATAAATTACGATAATAACTGGAAAGACGGGTTGTGATTGTTCTCGAAATTACGGGGGAGGGGTGGTTAGTTGACCGGTTGTTAACATATACAGGGTTGTGTTGACGAGTTGATGTGATTGCTTATACAACTATCTCTGTATAGAAAAATACACGGTATGAACTTCTGATTTGCAGATCAAGCCTGAGAACGTACGGTGAAACTGTCAAATGCATATACTGATATGGCAGCTTCATGGGATTGAACGAGCTTTCTTGTAAATTAATATACAGGTGCTAAGATAAGGGAAATGAAAATACGTCTGTAATTTAAATTCTAAGATATATGGAATCCGAAATGACAGTGTATTCAAACAAAGTAAGCCATATGGCAGTGGATGTTGGTCAAGAAACCTCAGATGGTGATCATTAAATAAATCAGTTTACCATCACATTTAACATAATATAATATTGGTTCACACTAAGGTTTGCAGATCGACATAACGCTCGTTAATTTATGACGCAGAGGGTTCACGAGCCTTGAGTAAACAAGTTCATAAAGTATTTAAATACACCCGTCGCATAATCACGCAAATGATACGATATTTTGAGAAGTCTAAAATCAATCCTTAGATTCTATTCAATATCACATATAAGAGACCATAAGAAATCCAAGCTTTTTTATTTATAAAGCAGTGGTATATAACTAGGGTCATGATAAAAAAAGGTGAATAATTGCCACATATTTTATGAATTGGAAGTTTTAGATTTCATATTAACCAAACTTCAGTACTGTAAAGATTAACTATGGAATATGAAATCCTAATAATCTGTTAATGCGCATAAAATAAAAGAATACATCAGACAATACAACAGAAGATGGACGCAAGTGTATTGTCTCGATAATTTAATGCTAACTTTACATTCACACGTAATTTTTTGTTACTTAACATAATTTGAATTTAACATTTCCATAAACAACTGCAATACATCTAACATCTAGACAACAAATAATTTACTTCATATCGACTTATTTTCTTATAATTTATGTCTATTATCGATTTACAGTGTGATATAATCATCCATCTATTCGATACAAAACGTGTTTTGACAGGTCTTTTTTCTTCAGGTTTTCCTTCAAATTTAATAACTGTATCAAAGTTTGTTCTGAAAAACAATAGTTTGCGTGAATGCTTACCCGAAGCCACGACTGCTTTGGATTTATTAAGATGGGAGGAACTCTGCACGACTGTGTCGCCAGTCTGAAGGACGCTGTCCACTGGAGCTAGAGAACGATGTACTGCTACTTGAAGATCCACCGGAGACTCCTGATGATGCAGAAATCCTCGCAGATGCACCAACAACAGCAGCATTGTCGATTCCGAGGTTGGCAGTTTCGATGTCGAAGGCGCGCAAAGCTTCGGCGTGGCGTTCCATCAGACGCCTTGTCTTTCTTCGTGACTCCTCCTTGGTTGACTCAGCATTTTTTTTCATCTAAAGTAGAGAAAAACTATGTGATAGGGTGGTTTCTGAAATAAAGTACATTTAAAAATGATATATTATACTAGAACCATTTAAAATTTTCAAGAGATTCAGTGATGATATCCGGAATATACTGAAGAGAATTAGCGCCCAGTTATCTTAAAAAATTAAGATGCTGATTTCAATTTAGCAGTCATTAGTTTGCAGACTTTATGTACATTGTTTTTATCGCAAATTGTTATCAGCTGGAGAAATAAGACAGGATATAATATTTATTCCCAGTTTTCAAGTTTTTAGTAGCATGTTTCTTTGTCGTCATCATCATCCTGGACACCGAGCTACTACGAAGATATTACCATCTAGCTACTGTTTTATAATCGAATAGTATTTTCAAATTATTTTCAGTTAGTGTTGCCACTGACAATAGATTATACATAACCTGAGAAGCAAAACCTAAGATTAAAGAAATATTTACACGACAAAAATCATAATAAAAGAATATCCGGTAAATTCGATGTAAATAAAATCATTTTTGACAGAATTATCACTTCTAGATGAGATATAGCAATTCAAGATGCTACACAATGACCTTTGATAACACTTCAATGGGAAAGTTGTGTGTCGTTGCAACACTTGCTTGTATTCCGTAACCTATAATAGGATTGTGTATTCAATCACACTTCAGATGTAAGTTATATATATAGTGCATTTGTTGCAATAAATTGCTTAGAACCTAGTAGGTAATTTTTAGTCTGCATGGGTCAGGAAACAGTAAGGGTATGTATCATTAGTTTCTTCCAAAAAGTTAAATAAGCCATTACAAAACCATATGACCATACTCCGTGAGCGATTAATAAACGACAAAAATTAAATGAACATATAGAAAGCAGAGTGCTTCGCAACAACTGAACGCGTATAAAATAGAAACTAGACAACGCACCGCAGCTTCCAGTGATTCTTTCCGGGCACGAATTCTATTCTCTAAATCCTCTCTTTGGCGTTGATGCTGTTTGAGCATATCACGCCGTTGTTTCTCTTGAAAATTAGAAAGAATTTTGACTCCTTCTAAACGACTTTCTTTAAATTCTTTGTTCTCGCGGGCATGTGTTGTTTCAACTTTATCCTAGAGACGGTAGCAAATAGATGATAAGGGAAATCATTTAAAGGTACAGCAAATAAAAAATAATTCTGAAATGCTGTTAGGAAAGTCGTTTAAAACTATGGCTGAAAAACACTAGACTTAGAATAGTTGTGATAATTCCCTATTCTGGCACTAAACTTATATTTTTATGACTTTTGTATATATGTAAAGCATTTTATCCGAATTTTTCAGCCTTTTAACCAATTCACTTTGAAGGACAGTAGCTAGAATAATGTTGTTATTTATCACAGTCAGATACATTGTTTATAACAGGTGACTGTTTCGTTAGAAGTCTCATTAGGACTGAAAACAAATAACTTCTTAAAATATTCAAGATACCCTTTGAGGTTATAGTTGATAAAACCGAATCATTTCAAATGACCTTTAGTATACCTTCGTCATTTCTAATGAGGTTTAATACCGTCTCCTACACATAACGGAAGCTATAGGGATTCGAACCTATAACCTCAGTTTATGTGTCCAGAAAAAATTCGTGACACCCTTGTCCCTGCCTTGGGTGGATATGATTTGATAAACGATTTTTTTCACAGCCCGTATTTATTTGTAATATTTCACCTCACCGTTTACATTTTTCAATACCTAACTATATACACACTTCTTATTACGTAATTCGTTTTGTGATTATTTTAAAGCCTATTTATCCAGGTTTGGCCTACTTCCTGTATTGAACCAGAGCTTTTTTATTTTATTATCCCTATCTCTGCTAGTACATGTGTTTTATTACTATCAATTTGTACCTTTTACCTATTATTTGTGGTTATGCAATCTGTTTCATTATGATCATTAACTAATAAATTGCCTTGAATGGTTTAATGTTTTCATATGAATATCTATATATATTAGAGTAAAAGCTTAGTGGCGATTTAGTTGAAAGCAATATTATTCACGTTTAGATGTTCTAATTAATTTTTAATGAGGTAAGGAATAGGATGAATTCAACACGAAATTTTGAGATCATTTGTATTTTCTGAAATTTTTATGAACTTCAGTATAGTATAAAAATAAACAAAATAGACGTATTATACTAATCATATCACTCATTTAGCATACACAACTAAGTACAATATGCATCTCATGTTACTGAATGGTTATTAATTTTGTAATTAACAGAACACTAAACAAGAATATCATGTGCTTATTGAAGGAAACATGAGGAAGCGGAAGACAACCTCCTTCCATGTATTAGTGCACGACAGTATGTATTCCGACCTAGAGTTTATAGGTTTTTGGAAAACATATGGTATCCAATGCAAAATTCTCAAAAGGCAACCAGAGAATAATAGGATTAAACATCATTTTTGTAAAACAAAATAAATTGTAATTATAGCCTTAGGGATATTTTTAAAAGCAGATATCTAAATACCCAAGACTTACAACAGCATTACAATCCAGTGATAAAAACACACATCAGTCTTCATTTTCTGCTAAGATGTATTGTGAACAATAAAAATATTACCCATTCAAATCAATGAAAGTACGTCGGCGTTTGTTTAGCACCAGCATACGTTAGTGTTTGCATTTTTTAAGAAATGCATTGGTGTGTCACAAAAACACTAAACTATATGATAATTAACTAAAATCATACAGTAACTTTAATGATTGATTTACATTATTTGAAGACAAGAGAGTGGACTTACATTTTGACGCTCATGTAGTTCACTAATACTTTTATTGTACTGTGCCTCTAAATCAACCTGTTTACGTTTCTCCTCCAATTTAAGATTTTCCAAAATCTGGCGTTCATCTTGTAGATGTATAACAAATTGACCTTGAAGATCAACAGAATCTGAGCAATTATTAGGATTTGATGACATTAATCCAGACGAAGGGCAGGATTCTGACGCTCCTGAAAAAGGAGAAGATCCTAACTCTGAAGTTCGACGTGCAGCCTTTAAACGCTCTTCACGTAAAAGTTTGAATTGCTTTTTCTGAATCCGAGCAGCATCACGAAACTGTTTACGAATTTGTAATTCTTTTTGCTAAACAAAGAAATAATACCCAATAAAGCTAGCACACAACAATATAAATAAATAGTCAAAAAAATCTTTGACATCTTTTCTAGAATAATCACAGAAATATTCGGTACATCAAAACTTCGGTTAAAACTGTAGGCAAAATTTACAAATAAGCAATACAAAAACACTGATGTATCAAATCTAGGTCATTAAGCTCATACTAACACAGGAAGATCGAGTTAGAAAGGACTCTAGATTTGAATAATTTCTCCCACGACAGATAAGTCATTTAGCTCAGATTAATAATCCAAGACTTAATTACCGGGTATCATGTATCGACCTGCCCTTGGATATTTTCTGTACTCTTATGCCAGGTTACTTCACCTACGGTGAAGGTGAGATATCCGTCTATCAATTAAAGGACGAGTATACTGTGCAGCAGTTCGTTCTGTACTACTTTATGGCCGCAAAACGTGGCCAATTAACGGTAGAGGATACTCGTAAATTCAGTCAGTCAGTCTACAAAGTAGGACCAGGCACATATGTACATCGATCCGAGTTATCATACCTCATTAGCACAACAAGATGAACACCAAATTCATAGAAGCAGTTACTTTAATGGATGTATTATATAAAGGAAAGATTTTATATAAGGATATGATATCAGTCAGTCAGTCAGCTACAACGTAGGACCAGGCACATATGTGCATCGGTCCAGGTTGCCATACCTCATTAGCACAGCAAGATGAACACCGGATTCATAGGAGTGGTTAGGTCAAAGGTTGCAATAAGGATATAGTATAGGAAGAAAGAATTAGTTCTTAGACAGAAAGAATGAAGTGATTTTAGTCTCTTAGTTTAAGGGAAGACAGGGAGTGTATACACCGACGCCACTGTGATCGATTCTGAGCCATGTCACCAATAGTCTCCAACCATTGGCTCAGGATATGATATAGGGAGAAAAAATTAGTTCGTCGAAAGAAAGATATAGAGCAATTTTAATCTCAGTTTAAGGGAAGACAAAGAGTTTATACACCTACGCCATTATGATCGATTCTGAGCCATGTCACCAATAGTCTCCAACCATTGGTTACGATAGTCACGCGGACCCCAACCAAGTGGTCTGTATCTACCAACATGGTTCAGACCAGAAGTTAGGGACTTTACAGACTGATGCTACGTTTTGGTTTGACCACCCCTAACTTTCCTCCAACTATTCCCTACACTAGTCAGCGTTGCAGTCAGTCAGTCAGCTACAACGTAGGACCAGGCACGTGTATGCATCGGTCCAAGTTGCCATACCGCGTCAGCACAGCAAGATGAACACCGGATTCATAGGAGTGGTTAAGTCAATGGTGGTAATATATAAAAGAAAGATTGCATATAAGGATAGAGTACAGGAAGAAAGAAGTATTTCGTAGAAAGAAAAATATGAAATAATTATAATCTCATAGTCTAAGAGGAGACAGAGAGTGTATACACCTACGCCATTGTGATCGATTCTGAGCCATTTCACCAAGAGTCTACAACCATTGGTTACGATAGTCACGCGGACCCAATCAAGTATTCTGTATCTACAAACATGGCTCAGACTACAAGTTAGTGACTTCAAGCACTGATGCCACATTTTGGTTTGGCCGCCCCTAACTTTCTTCCAACTATCTCCAATACCGGATAGCATTGCACGTCGTGGTAGTCGGTGTTCAGGAATACGTAACACGTGGCCTAACCATCTAGTCGATGAAGATCCATAACCTCATCAACTGATTTACCATCATTCCCCAATACCCTGCGTCTAACCTCACTATTACTTACCCGGTGATCCCAGCAGATGCCAGCAATATTTCTAAGGCATCTGTAGTCAAATACCAATAGCTTACGAGTGTCTTCTACTCTTAATGACCATGTTTCGCTGCCGTAAATTAAAACAGAACGGACTGCCGCGCAGTATACCCGTCCTTTTATTGATAGACGGATATCTTGCCTTCGCCATAGGTGACGCAAGTTGGCAAAAGCCAAGCGAGATTTTCGAATCCGTGCTGAGATTTCGTTAGACACCAACCCATTAGGGCTGATCAGACTTCCAAGATAAGTGAAGTTGCCAACACGTTCGACTACTTCACTCCCTATCCTTAGTTCAGGTGTTGACGCAGACCAGTCCTGAAGCAACAACTTGCATTTAGAGGGAGAGAAGCGCATTCCAAACATTCTGGCATTGTTGCTTAGTGCTACCAAAAGACTCTGCATTTTGTCAGCGTCTTCACCAAACAGGACTATGTCATCTGCGTATTCTAAGTCGATAAGTGGACCTCCTGGAAGGAGATCAATACCCGAGAATTCAGTAGACGAGAAAGTTATTTCCATCAGTAGATCTATAATGAAGTTAAAAAAAATGGGGAAAGTGGACAGCCATGACGGAAGTCAGCGTTGCGCGCCGTGGTAGTCGGTGGTTCGGCATGCGTAACACGTGGCCCATCTCAGTCGATGAAGATTCACAACTTCATCAACTGATTTACCACCTTTCCTTAATAACCTGCGTCTATACTCGTAGTTACGGATATTTATTATTTTATTTATTTATTTGAACACAAATATTGGTACAAGAGGGCACCAAATATATATGCGCCACACCATATTTGTGTGTGGGTTGTGATACTACCCGGGTGCCCAGACCGAAGAAGGTGGTTTTCTTAGGGGGCCACACCCCGCATCTGCAGGGATCACCGGTTAAGTAATCATGAGGTTAGACGCAGGGTATTTATTAACAAAGTGTAGGATAAAAGGGATTTTCCAACAAGTAGTATGAAAAATGTCTGTAAATCAGACTATCAGATATCACACGTATTTACAAACTAACCTTCAGATATTTTGGTAGATTCTTTGTTTCTTCACAATGTCTCTTTTGTAATCCAACCTCAATGCGCTTAAAATATTGATGCAGATTTTCCATTTCGGCTTCATGTTGACTTTGAAGCTGATTAATGCGTAGGTCTTGAATCCGTTTTAACTGGTTAATTTCTAAATTTTCGAGTTCAGTGTGCTGTCTGAGTAACAACGAAGTAATCTCCTCAGCTGCCTTCTGTTGTAGGCGTATATATTGTCGTAATTGTTCCATCTAGCGTAAGTACGAAGAAAGTGATATTAAGAAAAATAGATAAACAAGTTAGGACCAGGGATAAATATTGTACAATTCAAGTTATCCCATTTCACACTAGTAAGCAGTGAAAGGAAGTCAACAAGAAAAAAAGCAAAGACGTAGAAATAACCATTAACAATCACGATTATACCAACAGTACAAGTAAATCAAAGGAGAAAAAGAAATCATAATTAACGAAAATAATTGTGTATGATGCTCAAGATGCTAATTCAAATTAACTTTTTTTGAACAGTATCAATAATGTATCCAACATAAAATCACAGTCTGAGCTGATGGGTAGTCACTACCACTGACAAAAAAAGATGTGACTGTCTTAAATTAGTTGTCCTTAGGCTTTTTATAATTTAATACTATACTAAGTCAGAATAACATTTCGGGTTAAGAGATGGCTGGGGATGTGTAGTAAATGTCTAAACCATCTCAGTCGATGAAAGGCTTATAACAACGACGAATTCACCTAACTTTTAGGACAAATAATTCGCGTTTTTTAAACCCATTATAATCAGTCAAGAAAATAAAAAGGTAACTATCACCTTACCTCGATATCCTGCAATTGGGTGAGGAGAAGACGCTTTGTCTTACGCGTTTCCAATGTCGACACATCATGCCGTCGCTTCCGAATAGCCTCTAATGGGTTGGAATGTCCGCTGGAATCAGAGTCATGTGAACTAAAAGATCCAAGTGGAGATTTTTTGGCCGACTTTAGTTCACTTTTCGTTTCAGTTTCAAGTTGACGTGCTAATTTTGATTCAACTGACATCGCTCTTTTGCGCTCTTTTTCTATTTCAGCGGCATGGATTTCTTCTAATCTCATGAACTCTTTTCTCATTGCTAACTTTGTTGCTTCATAGTCACGATTCAGTCGTGATTTGAGTGATTCCTCCTCAACCTATAGAATGAAAAACAGCCCAAGACATTTGTATGTACCCCAAAAACGATTTCAATTATTTATCGATGTTAATCAACCTGTACCTTAAGCTGTAAATTTCGAGGCAAACATGATATGGAGATTGGAAATTATATGTTAACAATATATTGGAATCACAACAAAACAGCTCAAAATTAAAAACACACGACAACCTTTGTGACAATAATAATAATAACAATAATAATAATAATAATAGTAATAATAATACATATACAAGACTCATTTCATAAGGATAAAACTACTAAGCACAAACTGACTATGAAATCCCAGTATTTCAAGCACCCTGAATCAGTTTGGTCTTTCACTAAAAACACTAATAATAATTTGTACAAACAGTAGTTCAAACACACTTATGTATTTCAACATAAACTTATTATTATCTAGAAAAGCAATTCCTTAAAAAAATACGGGTAACCAAAACTAACAGATGATTGTTTGTTTTAGTACAAACGAAGCAGGATAACTGAAAAATTCTCCAAGAAACCTAACTGTGACGGCTGAACTGATTTAAAATTTGCAGTTTTTGTTATCGTACAAAATAGATCAGTCACAAAACAAATATCGAGTGGATAATAAATAATATACTCGCACAAGTTAAAACACAAACCTTATTTTTATCTTCAACTTGTTTTAGGTGTTTATTATGTTGATTTCGAAGTCGTTTAAGTTCATTCATTTGATCACGCCAGTTAGCCATCCCTCTCCCATAACCCTGTTGCGTGAAGCCAAGAGCAACAGCAGCAGCTGAATTTGAAGCATCTGGTTCTAAAGACAGACCTCTCATCATCTGGGTAGTTTTTAGTGTTGCGAAATGGCCAACAGAAGTTGACGTGTCCGCTGGAGAGTTTATTTCAACAGAAGCTATACGGGAGGTTTCGGTGATCATACCCGAATCATTATGAGAAGTAGTCGAGAACCGACTGAAGCTTTCAGTTTCTCCTTTAATTAAATCTGTCTTTGTCGGGGTAACAGAAGAAACCACAGTTTCAGAGATTGTGCCTTACCATAAGAAAACAGTAAACATTTACAATTAGAAAATATCGATGAAATGTTTTTACTGACACACTGTATTCAAATATACAATTACATCATAAAAATGTGAATTAATATGCAATTAACTGATAATCGAACACATCAGGTAGAATAAAACTAATTTACAAAGACAACCGGATTATTTAACAACGATTTATTTGCTTTTCAAAGGCTGTAGCCGGACAGCTTCCAAATAAATGATAAAAAGCGAGTTGTACATTTGCTTACTTACTAAAATACGCTGTGACACATCGTAGAGCAGTATAGACTGCCCAACAGCACTCTCCATCCAACACTATCCTGGACAATCCTTTCCAGTTTTTTCCAGTTGCTATTCATCCTTCTCGTTTCTGCTTCTTATTCCTGACGTAGCGTTTTTCCGGTCTTCCTCTTTTCCGTTTCTCTTCAGGATTTCAAGTTAGCACTTGCTTCGTGATGCAGTTTGACGATTTCCGTAATGTATGTCCTATCCACCTCGAATGTCTTTTCCTAATTTCCTATTCAGATAGAAACTGATTTATTCTCTTCCACAGTAGGCTGTCGCTGATGGTATCCGACCAAAGGACATTGAGTATCTTGTGTAGACAATTATTTATCAATGCTTGTACATTTTCGATTATGGTTATGGTAGTTCTCCAAGTTTCAGCTCCGTAAAATAGAACTATCTCGACGTTCGTATTGAAGACTATGACTTTAATGTTGGTTGACAGATGTTTTGAGTTGCATATGTTCTTCAACTGTAGGAATGCGGCCATTGTTTTGCCAATCCTTGCCTTTACGTCTGCACCAGATCCTCTTTGTTCATCGATGATGCTGACCAGATACGTGAATGTTTCTATCTGTTCCAGGGCCTCTTCGTTAAGTGTGATTGGTCCGGTGTTTTCGGTGTTATGTTTGAGGACCTTGCTTTTTCTCTTGTGCATGCTGAGGCTGCTGCTACACTGGCTGCCATGGTATGAATTTGTTCGTGTGTACGGGGTCGAAGAACTAGGTCATCTGCGAAGTCCAAATCGTCTAGTTGCATCCAAGCTGTTCATTGTATTCCGTGATTTCCCTGAGATGTCGAGGTCTTCATAATCCAGCCAACTACCAGAAGAAATAAAGAGGCGCAGAGTAAGCAGCCTCGTATGACACCGGCCCTCACTTGTAATGCATCTGTGAGCTGTCCTCTATGCACGACTTTGCAATGTAGTCCGTCGTATCAATTCCGTATAATGTTGACTATCTTGTCAGATACACCATAGTGTCAAAGAAAGTTCCATTAGGCACTTGTTCCTCCTCCCAGCTCTTCCTGAATAGGACGTGGAGCACTTTTTCAGTTACTTCTGTGTGTGACTTCATAGCCTCAGCTGGTACATTGTCAGGTCCTCCTGCCTTCCCACTCTTGACTTGTCTGATGATCATCCTGATTTCTTCGGTCGTTGGCGGAGTGTCATCTGTAAGAAGGTCTGTATATGCTGCTTCGATGTCTGTTGGATTCAGTGGGACTGGTCTATTTAAGAGTTCCTCGAAGTATTCTACCCATCTGTTCCTCTATTCTTGAATCTCGGTGATTGTTTTGCCTTCTTTGTCCTTGATCGGTCTCTCTGGTTTACTATATTTCTCTGCTAGTTTCTTTGTTGTGTCATATAGTTGTCTCATATTTTCTTCTCTTGAAGCTTTTCCGCTGTCGTTGCTAGTTCTCCCAACTATTTCTGCTTGTCGGCTCTAATGTTCCCCTTCACTTGTTTTTTTTCTTCTATGTATTCAGCTTATGTTTTGATTTTCTCTGTTCTTGTTCGATTGTTGTTAATTGCTGTCTTCTTGTTCTTCCTTGATTGTTTTCCAATTGTTCGCCATCGTAGTTTCTTCTTTGAGTAGATCTTGTAAAGCTCGGAATCTTCTGTTGAGAGTTATCGTGAATTAGTTTAGTTTGTTAGTATATCAAAGGAAGTTTGTATTGAACCTTTGTACTGCTGTTTCCCCAGACGTCCAGTGTTTCTTTAGTTCAGTTTCACCATGGCCACAAGCAGCTGATGATCTGAAGCTATCTCTGCTCCCCTCCCTCCTGATTCTTACATCTTTCATTGTCCTTCTGAATTTTTTATTGTTACAAATATGATTTATCTGGTTCTCCGTGGTGTGATCCGGTGAGACCCGTGTAGCATTGTGTATGCGTTTGTGTGGAAATATTGTGCCGCCTATAACCACTTTGTTGAATGCACATAGGTTCGCAAATCTCCCATCATTTTCGTTCCTCTCTCTCAGTCCATGTAGTCCCATGATATCCTCATATTCGGTGTTGTCCATTCCGATCTTGGAGTTTAAGTCTCTGATCGGGATGGTCAGGTCTTTTGCTGGACACTACGCTATAATTGATTGCAGCCTCTCATAGAACTGATCTTTATTGTCGTCACTGCTATCATTAATGGGTGCATAACGCTGGATAGCATTAATTATGATTCCCTTCTTTTTTGTTTTAAAGGATGCCTTGATGATCGCGAATCCGAGAGATTTCCATCCTATAAGTGAATTTCGCGCTTCTTTGGACAGCAACAGAGCGACTCCCTGTGTGTGGAGCATTTTCTTCTTCGTGACCAGAGTATAGCAACATCTCTCCCGTATCTAGCGTTTGCTGTCCAGCTTGGATCCAATGGTTCACACTTATTTCGAGCACCGTCAAGTTGTATCGCATCACTTCCGTTGTTATTTGACTGGTTCAAACGTTTCATGTACCTATAAAAATTATTGCTCTGGTTGTTAGGAGCATAGGCCTCGTGACTTCCGAACAATCTCCGCATTCATCAAGAGGCGTCATAATTCATCCTTCAACTCCCAGGGCAGAGGTCAAATGGTTTAATTTGATTAATGTGGTTGACGTCTTTTTAGCAAGATTTCTTTCTACGGAACGGGGCTGCAGACCCCGTGCCGAACTCTCCTTCTTTACCCGGGAATGGGACCAGCAGTAACTTTAGAAGTGGTGGTTAACAGGCATAAAACAGGGAGAGCAGAGTCACCCGATTTCGTTTCAACTTGTTGGTTCCTCATCAGCTCCTTATTACCCATAGTATTTCGAGATCGGATTATCAAGTAGCAAAATTGGCTAGAACTTAATGCGGAAACATATTAGGATGGTGTAGCAGTGACCTTAATGGAGTTTAAAAAAATCGAGTTCCACGATATATATATAAACCAAAAGAATGTTGTAGATACACATACATATGCATGTGCAAGTGCTCTGGAACCGGAAGAGTGGTGAATATCTAACTAATACAACCCGAACCGGGTTGTGAATCTATCGACGTCTTAACAGTATGCTGTTACTGTGCTATTTATACGTCCGACGATCATAGATGCTAATGTTTCAGATATTACATCAATCACATTGATTTTTCTAAGATTATCACAAGAGGAGTTTTGCCTGTTTTTAACTGAGACGATAAGGAATCGGGAATAGTTGAATTGGGCCTCATTCAACTTTCAAGCCTTAAATGAATCGTATCCATTTTGACACTCCCGGTTTATCATCCTAAAAGAGCTCTGGGATCAAACTATCACTCCACCTCCGTCAGAATATACGGCATCGCCTTCGGATTTTACATTTATTTTTGACCTTAAAGATATCCCACCAATATATCTGGTGGGATTTCAATTAACAAACTATTTACGGCAAGACAGTCCGACTGGGTCTTTGATTTAGAGTATTCACCACGGCGCAATTTAAAGCAACATGACAGATCTGTCAACAACACACACAAATAACATAAGGTAAAGGAATAAAAAACGAGCCACATTCAATAAAACGTCATGTATATCATGAAACACTTTAAATTAACATTCATCAGTGAGTCAGAATAAGTAATTAAATCTTATCTCAGTTACCGCACACTTGTCAATCAAGTTCTCATTTCCGATTGTATTTACCTTTAGTTTCCACAAAATGAATACTTTGATTATGGATAATATCAGATTATCCCACTTTTAGCAATCAGACTTATTAGCTAACAATAAAGATCTAATATTTGACTTACCGCGGTGCCCCAATTCATTGTTAGAATCAACTAAGATTGAATGATACACATGACTGTCGGTACTGGACTCCATATTAGCGTATAAATGACTGTTGATTTGGACAAGACGTGGATTTTGAGGATGTTGAGTTATACTAGAATCCCCTTCGCTTAGTCTGTGTGAGCTCGATCGATTAGGCACAGGTGAAGGTTGTGTTCCATTAAAATCGAATGAACCACCATGTCCACTATCCGGATCGAATGTGCGAGACTATTAAATGAAAAAATAATGGACAAACAAATAAAATAGTCCACGTCAACTAAATATTGCCTCACTCAAGATCATAACTCTCGTACATGCATTTCCCATTTCTTCAGGTTGGTTGGTACGATATACTTTTCAGGACAATAATTGGTATCCAAAATGCATTCGGTGGTTCTAGTAATATGTGTGAGATATATGTCACTAATTTAATAGGGTGAAATTTACAGATTTAGAAGGGATATTGATAACAGTTAAGGATCCTGAATCACTGGTAATTAATATAAGACCACAGTTATCAAATGTTAATAAATACAGACTTAATATAAGTATATGACAGTAAAAATTTTCGAAAATTAGCTTTAAGTATAGGGTCCCTGAGTTAACTACTGACTAAATCGAATTTACACGTGCGAAGACCGGTGTAAACGTTGATCATTATCAGATAAGTTTGAATTATCCAGTTATAGATATTTTTGACAGAATTTTGATCAGTCTTGGTTAGAGTATGTGGATTCTGAAAGGATTACCTGGATATAGCTATTTTTAAATATCCATTACTGCATAGATGAACTCATTAGCTAAGTGGACAACGCGACCAGAATTTGAAGAGACAGATACTAGATTTGAGTCTCGGTGTGGAAATGAAAAAGAAGAAACTAGGATGGATGGAAAGGGATCAAAGAAGTAATAACTTCAATGTTTCAGGTGCTGGGCCGCAACAAGCATCATAACAAGGAACAGATCTCCATAGAAACTCTGGACAATATTCAAGAAAGGAAGAACACGACAGCAATTAACAACAATCGAACAAGAACAGAGAAAATCAAAACATAAGCTGAATACATAGAAGAAAAAAAACAAGTGAAGGGGAACATTAGAGCCGACAAGCAGAAATAGTTGGGAGAACTAGCAACGACAGCGGAAAAGCTTCAAGAGAAGAAAATATGAGACAACTATATGACACAACAAAGAAACTAGCAGAGAAATATAGTAAACCAGAGAGACCGATCAAGGACAAAGAAGGCAAAACAATCACCGAGATTCAAGAATAGAGGAACAGATGGGTAGAATACTTCGAGGAACTCTTAAATAGACCAGTCCCACTGAATCCAACAGACATCGAAGCAGCATATACAGACCTTCTTACAGATGACACTCCGCCAACGACCGAAGAAATCAGGATGATCATCAGACAAGTCAAGAGTGGGAAGGCAGGAGGACCTGACAATGTACCAGCTGAGGCTATGAAGTCACACACAGAAGTAACTGAAAAAGTGCTCCACGTCCTATTCAGGAAGAGCTGGGAGGAGGAACAAGTGCCTAATGGAACTTTCTTTGACACTATGGTGTATCTGACAAGATAGTCAACATTATACGGAATTGATACGACGGACTACATTGCAAAGTCGTGCATAGAGGACAGCTCACAGATGCATTACAAGTGAGGGCCGGTGTCATACGAGGCTGCTTACTCTGCGCCTCTTTATTTCTTCTGGTAGTTGGCTGGATTATGAAGACCTCGACATCTCAGGGAAATCACGGAATACAATGAACAGCTTGGATGCAACTAGACGATTTGGACTTCGCAGATGACCTAGTTCTTCGACCCCGTACACACGAACAAATTCATACCATGGCAGCCAGTGTAGCAGCAGCCTCAGCATGCACAAGAGAAAAAGCAAGGTCCTCAAACATAACACCGAAAACACCGGACCAATCACACTTAACGAAGAGGCCCTGGAACAGATAGAAACATTCACGTATCTGGTCAGCATCATCGATGAACAAAGAGGATCTGGTGCAGACGTAAAGGCAAGGATTGGCAAAACAATGGCCGCATTCCTACAGTTGAAGAACATATGCAACTCAAAACATCTGTCAACCAACATTAAAGTCATAGTCTTCAATACGAACGTCGAGATAGTTCTATTTTACGGAGCTGAAACTTGGAGAACTACCATAACCATAATCGAAAATGTACAAGCATTGATAAATAATTGTCTACACAAGATACTCAATGTCCTTTGGTCGGATACCATCAGCGACAGCCTACTGTGGAAGAGAATAAATCAGTTTCTATCTGAATAGGAAATTAGGAAAAGACATTCGAGGTGGATAGGACATACATTACGGAAATCGTCAAACTGCATCACGAAGCAAGTGCTAACTTGAAATCCTGAAGAGAAACGGAAAAGAGGAAGACCGGAAAAACGCTACGTCAGGAATAAGAAGCAGAAACGAGAAGGATGAATAGCAACTGGAAAAAACTGGAAAGGATTGTCCAGGATAGTGTTGGATGGAGAGTGCTGTTGGGCAGTCTATACTGCTCTACGATGTGTAACAGATGTTAGAAGAATGTGAACATGAACATTGGGATGTAGGTATATCCAACTGTAAAGGCGAGAATAGTACGAAATGCACGTCCTGGATTTCATTACTAGTTACAATCCATCTATTTAAGCTTATATTCTTAAAACCATTCACAACAAGTTTGTAATTTATGAAAAATAGAAAAAATCATTGTTTTAGAGCCGACTGTACACGTGCTTTAATTTCTCCAGACATCTGATCGTAGTTTGTCAGTAATTTGTCCGAACCTATTTTCTTAAGTATTAGGGAAATTTTTTATTATTGTACCTAGGAAAACTGCAGTAGATAACTTGTTGGAATTACATAAATCTCTCTACAAATGGATGAAATGGGTTATTTATTTATTCACCTCGGCTAAACACTACTTGACAGTTTTATCACAGTTGAGTTCGAACATATGTTTGTAATATCGCAGTTAAAATTAAACATACCGGTGAGTTTTCATTGGAAATTCCAGATACAGAGTGTTTGGGGGGTATATACACATGTCTCTGACCAGGACTATTGCAGCTATCGGACAGATCACTGCTAGCGCTACCCACGCTGTTCGAACAACTATCACCCTAAACAGAGTAAAAAATTAGTAAGTGAATACATTACATTACTATTCGTCCTCCATATAAAACTCTAAAGACAACTTGAAATCTATGCGTCGATAAAATTCGACCCCAAACTGTCCACTTTACTCATTTTGATGGATGACATTTCGGAAAATGTGTAGGGGCGGTGCAGATATCTTATTTGAAAAGATTTTATCATCTTACTGTGTGATTAAGTAGATGCTACTTAATTCACATTCACCTACTATCTAAAATGCTAGAAGTTTGAGCATGGACTCATGTGCGATAAGACGTGAAAATTAAGCGAGTGGTTCGTGCATCTCGGTAACTGTGTAAGTTATAGGGCTATAGACAAGATCAATAATCATATAGTAGTGAAAGCCACGGTAATTTATACAGATCTAGGGGGCTCACAACGCTAACAGGACTGTATTTTATTAAACGCAAACACTATAACAAAGAGGAGTCGAAATATATATGCACCAGACGAAAATTTTTCATTAAATCCGTGTGTGGGCTGGGATACTATTCGGTGCCCGAATCGAAGCAGGTCGTTTTCTCAGGAGGCCACACCCCGAGTCTCTAACCCAGAGGTCTAATCCACGAGGCAGTGGAGCAACGTTAGGAGATGCGGTCACATGGTTACCGGTGACCAAGAATAGGTCTATGCGCCGTTTGTTCCCTCAGGATCCTGGAGTCCATGTGCACCATTAGTTTAGAATAAGGATTTTCCAACTCCCCTAGGTGAACTCTGTACACGTCGGACATATGCTTTGTGTCCCCTTAATTTCATAAACAACCAGCCCACCGCGAGAAGGCATTAAGTAGAACTTCCTCGAGTAGTGGCTATGTACACGCAGCCATATAAAAGCTTATCGAGAGAGCGCTCTCTCTACCCTTGGCCATACCATGAGATTTGGGGGCCGTAAAAGGTATAGTGAATAACTCTGTGATTAGTATCTTTGTTCTACATCTTCCCACTTTTCCAAGCCGAGAAAGTCCGATCACTATTGTCCCCGAAGAGTTGCTTCCACTGCACAGAGACATTGTGCAGGTAATACGGAGGTAGAGCGAAATTCGTCACCTTATGAAAAAAGCAGCATTTTAAGAACAACATCTGAATCCTACATTTCACCAAGACAATTAATCACTTTCCGAAAATTTCATACTGATGAAAAACCACGAAATATGATGAATTCATATCATTCTTCCTCAATGATTGCTTTGGCTTTATTCATTATTAACTACCTTGAATGATTATTCTCCACCACCATTCTAAAAATGCTTAACGGTACCCAGTTGTCTCCTGACTCAATACACAGTAATTTTCGAGAACTTTGCGTATTACAGCAATCACTACATAATGTCAACCATGGAATTCAGAAAATCTCCATGAACCCCTATGGTAATAAAACGGATTACAAAAGTATGTCGTACACAATAAAAGTAACTTACTACAAGATATTCGACATCATCGTTTATCGAACTACTGTCATGACTGGTTTCCTCATCAATACATTTGTTAGAATCACGCTGCTGAGTTTGAAGAGATGCCTTTCGTAAATCGTGCCTTCGCAAACTGCGCTCAGACCCACCAATGTTTGATCCTTCATGCGACTGCCTTAATATTCCAGAGACGAGATTTGGTTTGTACGAATTTCTTGCAGAGGCCTCTAGGTCTGCATTAGAATCATCATATACAAACCCAGTTTTCCTCGACGTTGGGCTCTCCTCACTGTTGTTAGGTACGACCGAGGATGGAGAGTGATTTAAATCACTTTCATAGAGAATTTTTTTCCATTTTTGACTAATTTGATTTTCTTGGGCAGCTACAGCTGCTTTGGTTCGCTGAATTAACTCTGGAAGAATATGGGAAAAACGAAACACACTAGCCAAGAAGGGGTGTGTCATGGCTTGAGAACAAAACGGTCTTTCATTCATCTACAAAATAAAATAAGACACTTCGATTATTTTGACATCGAATATTGCTAATGTGAGTTGAATGATAACGGTTATTTATTACTACCAGTTTCTACCAAAACTTTAACCATATGAAGAAAATAATGATCGGTTGGAGATCAAACTATAACTGTCATCAGAATAAAACTGAACAAAACCTAAATATGTGAATTGTAGAAAACCAGAGAAGCATAGAAAATCAGTAAAAACGTAAACAACATGATGTTAAGAAACAGAATCGACGCTCGGATTTTAGTCATTCTACGCTTTGAATCTGAGTAATAAAGAGGATTCGGCAACGTATTACCACAAATTTAATTAAATGCCCTTCATTGAGTTCGTTTTCCAAGATTATTAGTGAAAAGATAAAAAACAGTACTCAAAATAAGCTTGACAGTTTCCTAAAGACAAATCCTTAGAAACGACCATCTAGGACACGACCTCAAATATAAATGTTTTAGAAAGTGTATTTGTTTTTTTAAAGAAAATCCCCCAACTTCTATTGTCGATTTTCATATACTAAGTTTTTAGAACCTAACTCCATAATATCTTGATGATATCCTCAATACAGTAGCGCAACAAACACTGTGAATATTCATACTTAATAAGCATGGAGCGGAAATAAACTAGAAAGTACGGTTTTTTGTATTAGAATAACGGCAATATGGTAAAAATTTGAGCTCCAATGACTGGTCTGAAATGTGTGGGATATTGAGCATTGCTCATGAAATATGAAAGTATAGTTTTGACGGCGAGACTATAATTTACGGACGAACCAACCAGATATAAGATGACAGAGCTCGGATTTTGGCGCGAAATTCACTCATCGATTTGGCTAAATAGAGTTTTGGAATTATAACTGTCAGTTCGTGATGAAAACCCTAAATCTAATTCTTAATCTTAACCACCGACTGTAAATTATAATTCTAATTTCTCACACTGGTTTATACCCCTCATTTGGTCCTAATTATTAGGCGGACACTATCAAGGTCACTTGAGCGTCGCCCAAAGGTCGTCCATAAACTAGTCTCACCATTTTAACTAGTAAGATTTATGAAACCAAATAGAAGAGAGGAATTCTTTTACACATAACGATATCAATACGAAATGAATAAGACAAGATTGCGGGACCTACATCTTTTTGGAGAACGAACCGTACAAAATCCCGAAATTCATCGGACCAGTTACCTCCCACCAGTCGTGGGGCATCATTTGAAGCAATTTGATATAGTGCAGCCATCGGATTGGTAGCGCTGAAGTAAGGGGGTTCCAACTCAGCTAAGAACAAAGTAAGATTGGGAATATGGAATAGAAACTAAAATAAGACATAAAATATCTAGGACCCCACATTCTCTAAATTTGCCAGAAATAAGGTTAGTAAAACAATCCACATTTGAAAACCTTAAACAACTCGGGGGGTGAAATTATAACCGACATTTGAAAGACCCTACTTCAATAGTGCAATCATGATTTTAACTGGAACTAAACCTACCTCCATTAGTAATAAAAGTCAATCATTTGCAACGTAGGACTTAGTATATATATATATATATATATATATATATATATATATATATATATATATATATGGATTGGTTTAAGTTGACAACACAACGCAAAAAGATGAAATTATTAAAAACAAACAGGAGACTGGAGCTAGCAACAGTATCAGTGGGTGAGGAAAGAATTCAAGATGGATTCGCATAATAAAAGGTGGGAGCAGATTTTAAAACTAAAGATCTAAATGGAGAAAGAGAAAATATGTGTTATTGACACACACATCACACATCTCCAACTGTTATTCACTGTGGTCACGCGGATCCCCACCAAGTAGTTTGCACTTACCTATAGAAATAAGTTCAACTGTCAATGACTTCACCTATACTGGAAGTGATGGGAGCTGGCGAAACCCAGCCAATCATCCTAAATTCGTGCTGAGATTTCCTCTGAAACCGACCCCACCACGGCTGATTATACTGTTGAGGTAAGTGAAGTGGTCGATGTAACCAACTACTTTACTTTTAATCACTAATCAATGCACAAACGAATCCTGAAAAATTTTGCATATGAACGAGAAACGCATCTCAGGCGCGTTTATATTGTTAAGGCGATCAAAAGACTGAATGTTTTCAATGTATTCACAAAATAGAATCGTCATCTGTGTTTTAAGTCAATTAACGGAACTCATAACGGGTTAGATAACTATGACAAAAGGAAAAAATGGGGGAGATGAACAACCTTGATGAAAACAATTGGTTATCAACTCTGGCGACAATTTGCCATAAGCTCAACTCGACCGGAAATGTTCGACCAGAGAGCCTTCACAGGTAAAAATAACAAGTCTCACAACCACTACTATATACTGGTAGCCACATTATTTAAACTTACATCTTGACTGGAGTTACAGGAAAGGGAAGCATACAATGTCAACAGAAAAATCGAACAATGGAATATTTGTTCAGAAGTGTTAAATGTTATCCGATCCACTCGAACGGACAAAATGCTGTCAGTGGAAAATTCTGTATAAATCACAGTAAAACTTTATGTCAACCGTGCTGGCTTTGTTACGTGAGTCAAATAAAATATGTATAACATGGTCATATAAAGTAAAAACGACAGAAAGTAAAGTATGGATGTAACTAACTACATTGAGTGACAGCGCAATAAAATAAAAAACAAAAATAACAGGCAGACCCCTACGACAAAAGTAAAACAGGGCAAAGATATGATAATGGTTACATTCTGATATCCCAGATAGCTGATCATAACTGCCAATTCAGTTCGACAGTGAGGTATTTTCGTCCTGACTACCCGGTTGAACCTTATCTTTTGAAGTCCACGGGTACCATTATGTCGTAAGGGCCAGTGGGGGTATCATAAAGGCAGCAAACCTTAGACCTGGGTGAATACAAATTACTGATTGTGATAGGGTGGTAAGGTAATTAGCACACAGCCGGTATAGCTATCTTTTAAAAGATAGGGGCCGAGGTTGCAGACCATTGATCCTAAAAATAAAACGAATAAGTTCTCCAAGGATTCCTCGCAGAGAAGTTAGAAAACTGTTGCGTCAATAGTACTAAAGTGTAAATGTTAGAAAGTTTCACAGACGGTTACTGCTTGATGACTGACCATACTAATAAGTCGGAAAGACCGGCAACGTTAATCCAGTCTACTGTTCGGGTTTTAAGTTTGTAGATGAATATTGCACTTCTGTTCTGTCTGACAAGTAGGGCTCGTTTAGTTTTTAGAACAAAATTTAATAATAATGTAGATACATGAAGATAGTATGACTTTATGCCCCAGGTATTTAATTCGACGGACTGGAAAACAGGAATGTTAAGGGGCCATCTTAAATAAACGAGTGGTATAAAAGTTGAGTAAATGACTTAGTAGCTGGGTCGTATAACAATAGGTTACAATTTTGTACGGTCGCTAGAACGCATTAAATTTTATGGTGAGCATTAAAACTAACCCATTTCAATACAAGTAATTCCTAAAGACCAAACGTCCACTCGTACGTCATATATGCCTTGTTCCATAGCTAGAATGACTTCAGGAGCAATCCAAAATGGTGTTCCCACGAAACTATTGGCCGGACTCACAAAACTAGCTGATCCGAAATCACCAATCTTCACGCCGCCAGAGTCCGTAAGTAAAATATTAGCTGCTTTGATGTCTCGATGAATTCTTTTCTCAGAATGCAGGTAGTCAAGACCAGTTAGTACTTCCTGAACGATACAGGCGATTTCATCTTCACGAAGTGGTTTTTTGTGTACTATCAGCAAATTTTGATTTAAGGTCATACAACTTACCTTCTAAAACATCTGCGACTGAGCCAATGCAGTATTCCATGACTAACTTTAAAAGGAAAATGTAGTAGCATATAGTACGCGTACCCATGGAGTTTGCTCTTTCATGAAGCATCCTTTAGGCAATACACAGTTTTTGTGCGCAAGGTGAGAAAGAAATTTTATCTCTCTAACGATGTCATTCCACTCTTCTTCTGACTTTTTACGTTTAGTGTCAACCTTTAGTTCTTTGATAGCTACGACTTCACTTGTTGTACGATTCCGAGCCTATAACAATAAGGAGTGGAAAATACGCTTACATAATAAACTGCTCCAAAGCTGCCGCAACCAATTTGGCGAAAGTCAGTAAAAACAGTCGTTGGGTTTTCATGACTGAAATATTTTGACAGCTCAGGGTCTTTAAAAACAGTTGTTCTGAGAGACTTAGGCATCGAGTTCTCATTCGTTGCGAAAGTGGCAGTATTCTTGCCTGATGTCAGCCAAACTTCAGACCTTTAGTGACCCACCTTGTTGATGGATGAAAGGAAAAACAAACACAAAGTTTATGCTAATGTAAGAACCATAATTATTATTAAGATCCAGTTGGTTTAGATGGACGTGTTTGGCGGGCGAATGAACAGACATTAGGGCTGAGGTTTGATGTCACAAAACACAGAAATAAAATGTTACTCATATACGAACTTGGATGTTCATTTTATACACATATTTTTAAGAAGTCTCGTCCTTTAATTGCCTCATACTTCAGCCATCCTCCAACTTTGATCAGAAGCGGAGGCTACTCAAACCTGTTGTTAAAACTAAGTCGACTGACCTCCTTTCCCTAATACTGAAGACTAGACAGGTCGTTCCCCTTAGGGAATTTATGCACAAATACTCATAGTTCAGAAGATAAATCATATGAACCAATAGTACTATTGGACGATTTAAAGCCAATCATCGTAGCTGTGACCAAAATTTAGTTATTCCATGACTTTGATGTCACTCCAGAACTAACCAGGCACAGTTGCTTAAGAAGTGATAAAAATGGATGTAAGAAACGGTTTTGGCACTAATATACAAAGCTAATAGCAAAAAACTATTTCTTTATTTGTGAATCTCATGATAGTGGGACCTGAGTTGTTAGTTGTAAACTAACTTTTGAAGGTTATGCATTTATGCACGGTGTCATCGATCGTGACCTAGTCCGCTAAATCCATGATTTCGTCCCAGAGCGTATTCAGATATGAAGTAAAAGTAAAATGTATCTAATATGTCCACCACAGGGCCTAAAAATCCCTCCGATAAAGGACTCCTGATGACTATGATGTAGCATGTTTTGGAACAGCATGTATCCGAACCCACGCGTTTCGGTTCAAGCCGAAGACTCGGAAATCATTTATACAACAGTGAGTATTACTTTCCGAAGTGAACCTGAGCGCTGACTTGGAGTACCGGAAACTGCGTTACCTTAAAAAAGACACTTCTGATCTAGTTGCGGTCCATCCTGCTTTACTAGGGGAGGCAGCTTCAATCCTGGCAACACTGCCTAGTGTGTGTGTTTCTACACTAGCTAAGCCGATGTACATTATCGGAAATTTGGAAGCAGGCTCACATCACACCAATTTTCGAAGGAGGTCAACGCAGCGAACCTTCAAGCTAACGACTGGTGGTACCTCTCTCTATACCCTCGAAAATTATGGGGTCCCTGATATGCGACTGTATACACGACCATTAACCTTAAACTTCTTTTCATCCCTACAGCACGGTTCCAAGAAGGGTCATTCTTGTATAGCCAACTTTCTGACTGCGGTGGACAGATGTAAAATCATCCTTGATTGCAAGGGGAAGGGTGACACCATTTACCTTGGCTCCAAGTGCCCTGGTACAGCCGAGAGTGGGAGGGCCTGCTCTCCCTCTCGAAATGCTCCCACATGGCTACGTGTATACAGCCTCTGTCAGGCAAGTCCTACTCTTTGCCTTCGCGCGGCCGGGGTGTTGTTTACGAAATTAAGAGGACGAAAAGCGAATGTCCTGCGCCTTAACCGGGACAGTGGACACGGTGAGTTCAACTAGGGTTGTTGGGAAACCCTGATTCCAATGGTGCATATGGGCTTTAGTATTCTGAGGGGACAAATGGCGTATGAACCAATTGTTGGGTTCCAGCTACCATGGGACTGCATCTCCTCACGATGCTCCAATGCCCTGTAGATCGGACCTTTCGGTCAAAGGCTCGGAGTGTGGCCCCCTAAGAAAACTATCTGCTTCGGTCTGGACACCCAAGCAGTATCACAGACCTCACACAATTACAATGAAATGACAATGATTATTTAATGTATTACTCGCACTCATATTACAGTTAACTAACTCGTACCCATTTGATATCATCCACTCTTATTTTTATTTATTTGTACTACGTCACTTATCCACCCTCTACCATTCAAACCTTGCGTATCCCTACTTTTTAATTCATACAGCAGCTCGCTTATGGTGGGAATTCTGTCCTATCTAAACGATCTCGAGTCGAAAATTGAATGCTTCCACGGAATACGAATTATGAAACCGGTTTACTGAAACCACATGCACCATTCAAACCGGCTGCCTTCAACGGTTTTACTGTAATGCAGATCGGGCACAAAATAGGGCTGGCTATGTCCTTAGAAGGTCTTAATATAGACGTCTGTTATCTTATCCGAGACCCATATTCAAGACTCCAGTGAAGTACTACAAATTCGCTCTCCATCTGTCGCCTCGAAATTCTTGGTTTAAGTGCGTTTATCCTGAACCCTGTGTCATCTTCGTCTGGTCTTGCTCGCCTTGGTGTCGCACTAGGCGCTAGAGCTGAGGCAGCACTAATCGATTGGAACCTCATTAACAGTCGGTTATGTGCTGTCAGATTAGAGAGTTCCGCCAAAGTGAGAAGAAATCGGCGTGAGAAACGATGTCTTTTTGTCATCTCCGCCTATGCTCCGACAGATTGCAGTCCGGATGCAATCAAGGATTAGTTTTACCACCAGTTATCTGTTCTTCCCCAGAAAGTGCGTTCGACGGATGTTGTAGTACTAGCTGGTGACTTGAATGCTCAGGTCGGGCGTCTAGGCAGCGTATGGGGAATTGTTGATCGTAGAACAGATAACGGGGACCATCTACTGCAACTGTGCACAGACCAGAACCCGTTTCTAGCTAGCACAGTCATCGCCAATGTGCCACCTGGCGTCCTCCCGCTACATCTCATGCCGGGACTCAGATTGATCACATCGCGATCAGCTACCGTTGGCGTGGTTATGTACAAGACTGCCGCTCCTTTTGGAGTACCTATCTGGACTCTGACCATGCCATGGTCTGCGCCAATATTACCTTACTTTTCAGTGGCCAACGGATTGATGTCAGTAAAGTGGTTCCAACTTCCGTTGTAAGTATCGAACGGGGCTAGCTTCTAGGCTAGCTACCATTCCATCGACAAGTATAGATGAACATTGGTTGCAACTACATGACGCCGTGAAAATGGCGAGTATGGTCGAGTAAGGACCGAGAAGCCTGGTGTTCGGAGCGTGCTAATGAGCTGGAAGCAGCAGCTGCATCTGGTAACTACCCGAAGCTCTTCCAACTCATCCGAGCGACTGACAGCAAGAAGTCTGGTGTTAGCGGAACAATCTGTGAGGATGACGGGATGCCAATCACTAACATCCATCGACGTCTTGGACGATTTGGCAGAGTTCTTTGAAGGGCAGTTCAACTGGCCTTCTGCTCCAGCAACATCCATCAGACTGTCCTGCCCTCCATGATCGGTGGCGACTGATCCACCAAATGAAGCGGAAGTCCGCAAGGAACTCCAACTCTTAAAGCGTTACAAATTTTCGAGTACAGATGACTTACCTCCGGCCCTTTTTAAAGATGGTGGTGACTTTCTGACTAAGGAATTGACGACGTTGTTTAAAAAGGTCCGGGAGCTGTGGAGTGTTCCAACGTCATGGAATGAGTCGATAGTTGTCCTTATCTTAGAAAAGGGTTCACGTCGTTCCGGTAACAACCACCGATTGCTTCCAAGCTATTGGCTTCCGTCATACTTCGTAGGTTGTTCAAAACCTGACAGAGATTGACTCGCAAGGAGCAGAATGATTTTCGTTCTGGTCGAGGATGTATTGGTCATATCTTCATCCCCCATCAAATGTTAGAACACCATCATACTTATCACAGGCCAATAATCGTATTGTTTCTTGACATTAGGGCATCTTCGATTCGTTGGACAGGATTGTTCTCTGGGATTATCTACTGAAGAAGGATGTATCTGAGAAGTTCATCAACGTCTTGAAAGATCTATGTACAAACACCTCAGGCAGAGTGAGGGCATACAACGACCTCTCTCCATTGATCCACTCAAGCAGTGGGGTTAGGTAGGGTTGCTCCATTTCACCATTCCTCTTCAACTTTGCTATCCATGACGACATTCTGGAAACAGCTCTGATGGACATTGGTAGTGGTGATGTGAATCTGTTGCCTGGCGAAAGACGTTTAGACCTTGAGTATGTGGATGATATTGTCTTACTGTGTGATGATACCCAAGTCATACAATCCGCACTTAATCAGTTGGTAATCAGTGTCCATAGGTATGAAATGTGTTTCGCACCTTACAAGTCCTAAGTGAGTTCACAAGACTGGCGGGACCCTGATCCTGTACTCACCCTGAGTATTGTGTGAATAGAAGTAGTTTGGAAGTTCGTGTATCTGAGTAGCTGCGTTAGTGATGGTAACAGCGTAAGCGATGAGACCAGTTAACGTACAGTGGAAGCCAGAGCGGCTTACGTTAATTTGTGCCAGCCAGAGATTGCGAAAATAGTCTGTAGAGGTTGTAGTGGCATTGGACCATAGCCACACAATCTTCAAAGCTGAACACAAGACTACTCAGAAAATAGATATTCAATTTTTAACACGGAGGCATACCTAACAATGGTAAAGGCGCGAACAATGAATGGAATGGACTGGAGTTTATCGAGTGGCATGGCTCGGCCATGCAGGCGTGGTCTCTGCTGAATGTTACCTTATATCTTCTATTCATATTAAATATATTGTTCTTTCTCTAGCCTAAACTTGTTCTACATCATGTAATGGTAGTTGATACGATACAGTGAGTCGGTGTAGTCGATGGTGTGACTTCCACGTAAGATCTTATAGATTAGGCAGTTACATCATGACAAATCAACAATTTTAGGATTAGGTCTATTATTAGAGCAGAACTAATAATATAGTAGACCATAGTTCTACAAGGTTTCCTTCTTGTACAAAGAGGCGAACTAAGAAAATTGATAGGATCCCACCACTTCAAGTACAAGCGGTCAGTTGACAGTGAGAGATCATGGAGTTTCATAAGCTGGAGCTTTATAAGAATATTTTAGCAAAGATTTTTCTGTCGAAAATAGTAGATCAACAAGAAACCACAATAATAACGGTTTATTGACGGAACCTCTGGTCTCTGGGAAAGGAGCTGTCTTACGATCACCTCAATATCTGTAACCTGATAAGCCAAATGATCCTGGTAATGTTTACCCCACGATTTTGAAAGTTCAGCCTTTATCAAAACTGTTTGACGCATTCGTGACTGTCAAGAGCCTAGAAGTAATTACCAGTTCTATTTACGTAGTGGATAGTATAGACTTA